AGTTCAATAGCTTTTCATGGTCTGAATCATGCATCTATCACTACGATGATATTTTCAAACATTTTCATCACCCACAAAGAAACCTGTACCTGTCCACGTTCACTCTCGATGCTCTCTCACATCGTGTTCCAGGAAACCATTTGTCTACTTTCTGACATTAAATTTGTCCCCATATATGGAAAGGAAATTATACAGTATTTTTGGTGACTAGTTTCTTTCACTCAGCAAGATGTTTTTACATACTGCATATAGTATGGCTTTAAATAATTCAAAATGCATCAAAATGTTATTCCTTTAGCCAGTCTGTTGCACTTTTTGAACATTTTTATACTTTTTTTGTCCCTTCTCAGGGTCTTACAATATCAGAATTGCACTTTTGAGGGATATTTATATTATACATTCCTTTTTTAAGAAAAAGATTTATTTATTTTATGTGTTTGCATGTGTGGCTATGTGTGGTTATATGCAAATGTGTGTGGGGTATTTGCAGAGGTCAGAAGAGGGCATCCAATCCCTTGGAGCTGGAGTTACAGGCGGTTGAAAGCTGCCATGTGGGTGTTGAGAACCGAACTCAGGTCCTCTGCTAGAACAGAAAGCACTCTTAACCACTGAGCCATCTCTTCATCCCTGTTATTCATATTTCTCACTGAAAAAAATTTGTTGCTGTGGCATTGTATCAAGGAAAATTATGTAGAATAAAATTAAAAATTATTGCATCTATTCAAACTACCCACTAGTGTTAACTTTCTATTACCATGACAAACTCCTGAAATAATTAACTTATAAAGAGAAGTTTATTTGGCCCTTGGTTTTTGAGATTCCAACCCATAACCATGTTAACCTATTGCTTTGGACCTCTGATGAGGGTGCTGGATGGCAACAGTGTGGGGGCACATAGCAGAGCAAATTGCTTCTCACATGGCTAAGAAGCAAGAGCATAATGAGGGGCCAGGCTTCCTCAGTACCCTCAGGGACACACCACCAAATGACCTAAAGAGTCACACCAGGTCCTGTCTCCCTAAGGTCCTGCCAACTCCCAACAGTGCTACCCTGGAAACCAACCTTGTGCCACATGGGGCAATGCCATAGCACTACTGTTAATAATTTTGTATTTTTCCTTCATATATTTTAGTTTTTAGTTTTATGTTTTCTTGGTTGGTTGGTTGGTTTTTTTGTTTTGTTTTGTTTGTTTGTTTGTTTGTTTGTTTGTTTTTGAAACAGGGTCTTCCTGTAACCCCAGCTGACCTAGAACTCATTATATAGACCAGGCTGGCCTTGATCTCATAGAGATCCACCTGCCTCTGCCTCCCAAGTGCTGGGATTAAAGGCATGTACCACCAGACCCAGAAAATTTCATATTCTCTTTAGGACCCTAAATTGTAAGTATCTGTATCATCTTGTTGGACACAGAGTTTGTTAATAAATTTTTACTGTTACAAATTACCTTAGTACAACCAGGCATAGTGTCCAGATACCTATAACCCCAGCACTCAAAAAAAAAAAAAAAAAATGGCCCTAGTAAACATCCTTGTGCATTCATTCTTAAATTATATACAACATATCCTTAACATCGGAATCACCTATTCCCTATTCAAAGGTTGTGTGCAGTTGATCTTTATCCATGAGACCCAGACACTCAGCAATTGTATTCCCATAGATGACTGCTGGAGAGTGAGGACTTGCCCAACCTGTGACCAGCACTGGTTGTCAGGCTATAAAACATTTGCCAATGTGACAGGGACATACCTGTCTTGTTAAATTTGTATCTTTTTTAATTTTTAAAATTGCATTTATTTATTTATTTATTTGGAGGGGGCTATGCATGAGCCACAGTGTGCATGTGTAGGTCAGAGGACAACTTGCAGGAGTCAGTTCTCTGCTTCTACTGTGTGAGTCTCGGGGATCAGACTTGGTGGCAGTCACCCACTAAACTATCTCACCAGCCCAATTTGGTTTTGTTTTTTAAGAATTTATTTTTACTTTTAATTGTGTGTCTATGTATGGGTATATGTAAGTGCAGGTGCCCATGGAGGCCAGAGGCATCAGCTCTCCCAGGAACTGGAGTTACAGGTGGTTGTGAACTACCTGACATGGTTGCTGGGAATTGAACTCAGGTCCTCAGGAATAGCAACAAGTGCTCTTAACCACTATGCCATCTCTCCAGTCCCCAGTTTGTATTTTTTAAATTACTTATGATGTAAATGTCTTTTATGTACTTTTTTTCTGTACATAAAAAGTACATTTATATTTTTTTCTGTGAGATTTTTGTTTATAGCCTCTGCCTATTATCCTTTTGTTCTTGGTCTTTTAGATTTACAGTACTGTTTCATAATATACTGATATCAGTCCTTTGCCTTTTTGTTTTGTGGCTTGTTATAAATGCTTTCGAAGACAACACTTATATTTTATCTTTTCTGTCTCTCCACATAGACATATCGAATTTCTACATACTCAAATTTGCCCTTTTTTCCCTTTATGACTTGTGAAATATAAATTAAAAAGTCCTTGTCCGTACCTACTTCAGCCACGATCACAAAAATATACCTCTGAATCTATAATTTCACAGTATAATTTTTAAATTTAGATCTTTAACCAGTTTGTTTATGCATACATGAGCATGAACCCAACCACAAATGCCCAGTTAACCTAATGTAAATCATTGATTTCAAATGTTTTCTGAAGTCCTCTGTGGTTTAAATCCAAAATGTATTCCACAGGCTCATGTTTTGAATACTTGGTCCTTAGTTTGTAGCACTATTTTGGGAGGTTATAGAAAGTTTAGAAGGTGGGACATGATTGGAGGAAGTATTGTCACCTGAGGGCGGGTCCTTGCTGGCCTGTTACCCCTGGCTCGTTCTTTTCTGGCCTTTTTTTACATCTGCCAAGAAGAGAAGAACCTGCTCTGCCCCATGCTCCTCCCCCTCATCTTCCTGCTCTGCCCGGTGCTCCTCCCCCTCATCTTCCTGCTCTGCCCGGTGCTCCTCCCCCTCATCTTCCTGCTCTGCCCCGTGCTCCTCCACCCTCATCTTCCTGCTCTGTCCTCCTCCTCCACCATGATGTTCTTTCTGCCCAAGAGCATGGGGCCAAGTGATAATGGATTAAACCTCTAAAACCATGAGCTAGAATAAATAATTCCTCCCTTTACATTATGTCAGGTATTTTGTCACAGCAAAAAGAGAAAACTGATACAAAGTCCACTCGACAGAATGTCACCAATGTAACACTCTTCTGTTAGTGCCATTTTACAGTATGGGGCTAGGGATTTGGCTCAGTGATACAATGCTTGCCTAACAGACGCCATACTCTAGAGTCCATCCCCCACACCACTGAAGGCAAATTTCTTTTTCTTAGCTCTTATATTTACACATAAGAATGCATTTTATAGTCAATTAACCAAATTCCAGAACAGCTTTTGGGGGTTGATTTGGACAGTATAGTATACTTACAAGTGAAAATTGATTAGTTTACAAACAACCTAAGTAATATTATTGTCATTTTGTTTTATAAGAATCAAACTATGGCAGCGATTATCTCTAAGTGATTTTTTTTTGTTTTGGTTTTTTTGTTTTGTTTTGTCTTTTGGTCTTTTTGAGACAAGGTCTCCCTGTAGCCTCAGCTGTCCTGGAACTCACTATGTAGACCAGGCTGGCCTTGAACTCACAGAGATCCGCCTGCCTCTGCCTCCCAAGTGCTGGGATTAAAGGCATGCACCACCACACCTGGCTAAGTGATGTTTTTTTTTAAAAAGTGATTTTGCTAGTTAACTATAGTCCTACCTATGTAAGAGTTTGTGGCAGGAGCTCCCTTGAGCCCAGGCTGGCCTCAAACTTAGAATCCTCCTGCATTAGTACATCCAGCCAATTCCAATGTCTTCCTTTTCCAATAGTACATGTGTAGTACTTTTTAAATTGGGAGGGTGTCACTGAAGAAAATGTATCCTTTAGTAAGCTATGATTATTTGCTTAACAGAAGCCAAATTAGAACAGAAAAAATGTCATGAGAAATAAATTAGTGACTTACAGAGGGTGAGGTAGAACCACTTGGCTCAGAGCTTAAGCCAGAGTTGTCCAGACTCTGTCCCCTGTTCCTGGGGAGGCCGCAGGTAGGAAGCAATCACACAGCCCCCTCTCTGCCGATTCCTCAGTTCTGCTTCTTCCCAAGCATCCCAGGCTGGCCGCTTCCTGTGGGCCCCTTTACAAGTGCCTGGTCTCTCAGCTCCTCCCATCTGAAAGATTCGTGTTTGTGTGACACAGCAGACTTTGAAGATGCACTAAGAACTACCATGGCCTAAATGTGGCTCTTGAATTTCCTGGTCAAGGACAACAGTTAGCAGAATGGTGTTAGTCTCTCCCTTACTACAACATTTTAAGAAACATCAAGCTCATTCTTAGGTCAGAGCACCTAGCTTCTAACAACTGTATACTTAAAACTTGGTCTCTGCTATTAATCTACGTTTTCTGGGTGATCTTCTCCACTTAATAACAACAGTACCTCACATACTGTAGACATTCAGTAATGGTTGATTAAAGTGTTTAGGGATATGTCAAGTGGGGTATTGAAAACAATGGAAATTTGGGAATATGTTCACTCCCCCGCAATAGGCTGTGATATTTGTCAAAATAATCTTAGCTTTCAAAGCAGGCTGGAGACAGGGCATTCTGACACAGCAGCATGCAGCAAAGGGAAACTTCCCTTAAGCAGAAGCACCCCACAGTTTAGGAAACGACATGAAGCATTCCACCTAGAGTAAGGGCGCAGTTGAAGTCAGCACTGCACCTTGATGGCGTAGGGCCCTGGACTCATCACTGCTTTCTTTGGGCCTTACTTCCTTAAAGAGATTCTGGATGCTTCTGTACTTTTTCTGGTTGTTAATTTTGATGCAGGGAGACCTCACCTAGAAAGTGCCTCTTTCTGTCATTTCTGTTCGGATGAGTCACCATTCTTAATTCAAATAGGCTTGGCTGGATTGTGCCTGAACTCACTTCTCCTCTCCCTTTCAGCTTCAGAATGAGCTGGAGAAAGGTGAACGGGACAATGCCGAGCTGCAGGAGTTTGCCAACACCATCCTTCAGCAGATAGCTGACCACTGCCCCGACATCCTTGAGCAAGTTGTCAATGCCCTGGAAGAGTCATCCTGACTTGCTCCATGGGGAGTGGCAGCCTAGCAGTCCAAAAGAGAGGTGGCCAGGAAGCCAAAAGGGAGCACCCAAGGAACAGGCATCTGAACCATCTCCACGCCAAACTCTGCGAACTCTAGCTTGTCACTCACCCAGAGCGCCATTCAGCCCATTTGCCTTGTCCCACATCTTACTCTGCGTTCTGCTTTGAATGTTCTCTCTGTACAAACTTCCTTGATCTCCATGAAGAAATACCCTCACGTCATCAGCAGCAAAGGAGCTGGGAGGCTGACACTCTGCCCCTCCAGGGACAAGAAGCCTGGAGCCCACTGAACTGTCAGAAGGACAGCCCCATCTAGAGCCCACTCAGAGTTCAGTGCGTTGGGAGAATCCTCACTGGAGACCTAAGAGCTCATTGCTCTAATATCACAAGTACTTTCTCCTCAGAGGGTAAACAAAAAAACTCAAAAAAAGAAAAAACATAGAGGAGGAGGAAGAAGGAGGAGATCAGGAAGGAGAGAAGCGTTCCTGCTTGCACCGCCCTTATTCCTGCTTGGTGTCTTGAACAGGGGTGCAGGCCGGCCTTGCGGCAGCTTTGCACTCACCCTTGTGTGACTCCTGGACGTCTTACCTGCATTGCTCTCAGTTGACAGGAGGATAACGTGCATAGCTCTCACTGTGCTCGCTCTTGTTGAAGACCTTTGACCTGACCACACTTCGTTGTTAGGTTAAATGTCTGACTGAAAGAGAAGAGGGTTTAACACCTGGGGCCCTGTCATCATAATTTGGAGCGCTGCTCCTCAAGAGAAAATAGTGTCTCTTGAGGCCAGCTGGTTCCTCTGAACATCTCGTACAATGCTGACCACTCCCACCACTCTGCCCCAGGCTGCTGCAGAACAAGGCTTGCTAGAGTGTATGATCTACTTCCCACCTCCTCAGCCTGACTCTTGACAGGCATTCTCAGAGCCACAGCCTCATGCCATGGCATGAAGTTTCTTTTGACCCAAGTGAGTTTGTCTTATCTCACACACATTCCTCCCCACATTCATTCATTCATTCATTCAGAGAACATGAAATGCCTGCAATGTGATAGGTACCCATTCTTGAAAAAGTCTCTGGTAGGGTGGGTTGTGGTAGGCCCTCTGAGACATGCTTAGTTGAATCATAGCAGTAAAAAGCATAGCCTTCATCCTTCCATCATAACAGTTGATATCATTCCTAGAAGCGTCCTTCCCAAACTAGCGTTCCTTGTTTCTCACTATAGTGGAATTAGTGAGCTTGTGGGGTGAACCACCTCTTTGCCTACAAGATCCCTTTTGGTGGTTTAGTATCTTTGCCATCAGTATTGTTTTCCTGAAACACTGTTCTGTTTAGGAGACTATGAATATCCATTCATGGCTACTCATGACTTAACACATCTGCATGCACCTTATGGACTTCAGGTAGCACGATCTTAAAATCAGAAAGATACAAATCCAGTTGAGAGTCTAGACTTTTGCAGGACATTTTTCCCCCAAGCATAGACAATGGCTACCATAAATAATCAGGCACCAAAAAAAATAGACGATGCAACACACATCTAGTCCTTGACTCCCTGTATCAGACACCCCTGACACTCCCTTCTTCTGGTGAGGTTGTTGGAGTTTGGTCTTGCATTTCCTTCTGTCTCCCCAGTTATACCCTCAGAATGTAATGCTGTCTGTAAATTCCTTACAACCCCAGCCCAGGACCTCATGCAGCAGCCACAACTCACATGAACTTAGTCACATCCCCACCTTCCTTCATCCTGACATAAAATGTTCCTTCCTTGTATGAGATGCTGGGGAGTATTCCTTATGAGGGTGTGAATGGGCTCTACTGATAAAGCTCTCAGTGAGATCCCAGCCTGGCTTGCGGGAATATGGAGTGAAGCCAGAAATGATGGTCATGGCTGGTCAGTTATGTAAATTCTACTTATTTATTGTCCCATCCATCAATCCTGAAGAAAGCTCCAATGTAGGAAAGTTAGAATCCTACGTAATTTCCATAACATAAGGGCCCACAGCCTAGTTGAAGCTTCACAGGCTGTGGTGGAAAGCAGGAGGGTCCAAGCTCACAGGAGCAGGCAAGCCTCCCTCAGTGCACACACTTGGTGCTATCAGAGGTGCTACTGCCAGTCTTGCTAGCTTGGCATATGGCCCTCTACCACCTTCCTTCTCTTCATTCTGCCTTGCCCTGTCAGGTCTTCCTAGAGGCTGCAGGAGCCCTCTAGGACATATGCTTATTGGGGAAGTGACTGGGAAAGTCATCTGGTTTCTGTGAACCACAGCAGGGAATCCTTGGGTAGTGATCTGGCAACTCAAATGATTCTGGGGCTGTTAAACTAAAGTTGAACCATGAGCATGGCGTGCCTTCGTCGTAGGGGCAAAGTTAATATGGTGTCCAACACTGAGAGGATCTTTGCATCGTTCACTGAGCAATATTTACTAAATGTACAACTGCCATTACCTTGGGACGTGTCAGTCCATAACCATCTTCATGTATTCATGGTTTAGCAAGGCCACACCACTGCTCCTGAAGACATCTGGCCCTGAAAACTAACTACAGGCTACTAGGATCAGCCCCATGACCTTCCATTCCATTGGCAAGCCTCTTAACCCTCAGCACCTAAAGATCTCGACCCCAAGTAAAGGTCATCATGAAGAAGACAGTAAGAAAAGAGAAATCCAACCTGGGGCTCCTGGCTAAAGAAGTGTATGAGCTCTGCATATCAGCAGACCTCTGTCCCAGGTCCTCATGAGTAGCCAACAACATATCTGAATGGGGATTGGCAAAGAGATGGAGACAACAAGTAGGCTTTAGCATTCTGGGAAATAGGAAGTCCCCTAGCTCATGTCACCCTTTATCCTTATACCTTTCACAACACCTAAGCATGCCTCTTCCTCACCAATGGCTTTTGCGAATCCTGGGAAACCAGACTGAACCCAGACCACCATCAGCGCTGCGAGTCATGCTGTGGCTGCATTCCTAGAAAGAACATAATGGCCCACCCTCCCCCTCTTGATACTGGGATTGGCTTTGGCATTGTGCCCTCTTGTTTGACTGAAGTATAGCTGCCGGCTACCCTTCAGGGGCTTTGAGGAAGGGGCAAAGCAAGGATACGTTGCTGCATAGAATGTGACACTCAGGCCTTTCTCAGTTCCAGCGGACTGTGTCAGCAATATCAGTAACTTTCATGTCTGCCTTCCCAGCTTCACCTAACTGTGGAGTCCAGAGCTGTGGAGAGGGGGGCAGGAAAGGCAAGCCTGAGCCACAAGCCTGCTGTCTGCAAAGCCTGGATGCCAGGCACACGCCATCACTGCCAGTCTCTGAATTTTGAGGAGGTGACTGGAACTGGTCCAAGAAATGTTCTAAAAAATTTTTTGGAAGTTTCCCTTGTGAACTAAGAATATTTAGGCAAGAAGAAAATGTGCATTACCTAAGGGTCCTTCTGAACAAAATGGCTGTCTTTATTCTTTTTAAACAAAAAACTGTTTCCAAACTTTTTAGTGTCAAAATTGTAACCAAGTGTCTCTTGATTCTTCCCACTGTGTTTGGCAAGTGCTGTGACCCTATTGTAGGTATTTCTCCTCCTGCCTCTTTTGGGGGAGAAGTGATTTTAGGGGTTGGCCTAGGGGTGTGGGCATCTGTCCCATCCCACCTCCTCTTTTGCCTCTCTGCTTGTTGGCATTGTCTGTGTGGTTCAGAGAACTGGGACAGTTACATTGTGTCCATTGTTGAGAATATTAAAATATTAAAAAGTAGTTGTAGAACTGAAAAACTAAAGAGCTGTGTTTTTAAAATACAAACCCATAAATATCATGTTAACAAAGGAATTCAAGCTATGGGCAGCCTAGCTCCCTCCCCTTCCAGGTTGGTGGGGTGGTAGCCAGGCTCCCCCATGGGAAACAGAGGCCACACTCCAAGCAGGTGACTTCCTGCCAACAGCCATGTGGAGAAATGAGAAGCGGGCTCAGAGACCATTGTGTCGGGATTTACCTGTATGTCCTCAGGACCCCTGGGTAGAGGTCTCAAAGTTGGTGACCCCAGAACCATCCTCACCCTCATGTTGGTCCGTGCCTAGTGTGCCTAGTACTGTGTAGCAAGCTGGGCCTCCCTCTGGAGCCCCTTCTTGGCAGACCACAGGACCTCTTCCTGTCCACTTGGTGCTATCTCATCATGACCATTCAGCAGGGCAGCCTGGCTGCCTGGAGCCCACAGTCCAGGTGGAGTGGATAGTCCTCAGAGCTTGGCTCCATCTAGCTTCAGATCCCAGATTCTGGCCCTTGAAGCTTTTTAAATCCAGAACCCCTAATCCCCAGAGATCTCAGAGTCAGGAAAGGAAGTGAGCCAGGCTGAAGCGAAGAGGTCCACCCCGTTCCACAGTGAGCGCCCAGCCCCTCCTCCCTACCACACCAGTGTTGCATCCATCCTCTAAAGCAGCTAGGCCTGCCAGGGCTGCATGCCACCCATCAGGCCAGCTGCAGAGTGCAGATCAGAAACCTGCCATGCAGTGGGCTAACCAGGATGGGGACTCAGGCTTTACTCTGATGCCCCGCCCCCCATTTCAGAAGAGGCATGTTGCACTTCAGTGGGGAGCCCAGGAATACTGGGCACTGGCTTCCCGTAGCTTGAGTCCCTTTAGGTAACTGGTGGCCACCTGATGGTTTGTGTGAAGCAGATGCAGCCGCTGCCTTCAACTGTGCACCTGCATGCAGTTGCTGGAGTTGAATTGCTGGCCTGATAATGGCATTACAAAGACATTGTGTTCTGTTCAACTTTGCCTTGATAATTATTGTAAACACTTTGTTCATTTTTTTTCTTTTTTATTCACAAACTAAATCCATCAGGAAATTATAAAGTTATTTAAAAACCGTGTGCTGCATCCTTCTTTAGTCTCTCCCAACCTGGTCATCCCTGTGGTAAGACGGGTTGTGATGCTGGTAAAACAGAAAAGACCATCCCCAGGAGGTCAGCTTCAGAGGCAGGTAACCTAGAGTCAGTGCCCCCAGGGCTGGTGCCTTAGCACAGACCTGCTGTACTGCTCTCAACAGAAAAAGCACCCTTAGGTATCCACTTAAACGCTGATGGTCTTTCAAAGTCCATTTCCAGCTTCCTTTTTCCGTTTTTTCACCGTTTCCCAAGCAGGCTCTCTACATCAGATCTGGCTGTATTCTGGAAGCATCCATCACCCAGGCATGGTAAAACTGCTTACACCAAGGTGGCAGAGGAACAAGCTTGGTCAGATAGTTTGATTTCTGTGCCTATTTCCACTACATCTGTCTGAGCTGGGCATGGTGGCACATACCTGTAATCCCCACACTTGGATCACAGGCAGGAAGATTTAGAGTTTAAAACTAATCTGGACTACATTCTAAGACCCTGTCTCAAAACAATGACGTCTCTGTGCTCCTCCTCCCTCTTCTGTGTAAATTATGGCACCTGCCTATGTAGCTCCTAGGAATTGTGAAATGAAAGTCTAAACATTGTTCAGGTCGGAGGCCCAGGGCCAGTTCTTGGTGGAACAGCTGTTTAGACAAAGGGGTGCCTGGCCCTTTTGTCTCTGGGCTGAAGAATCCTGTTCCTCATTTCATCGTGTGACACAGAACAGTTATACCAGCAAAATGTATATTGTACCAAGTGGCATAAAGCCACAAGCAGACAAGTCCACAGAAAGCTGACAAATACACTGCTCAGCAGCTTCCAGGGCTTTTTTTTTAAACTTACTCACTCTGGTCTACCAGTATCCAGTTTCAAAGAAGTGGACACAGGATCACAGGTGTGAGGAAAATACATAAAAGAGAATTTTTAGGGACTGGAGAGCTAGCGCAGCAGTTAAGGGCACTGGCTGCTCTTGCAGGGAACTAGGGTTCCATTCCCAGCAACTGTATGGCAGCTAACAACTGTTTGTAACTCCAGTTCCAGGGGATCTGACGCCCTCTTCTGACCTCCATGGGTATTGCCTGTCATGGGTGCACTTACATACATTCAGGCAAAACACTCATACACATAAAAAATTTTTTTAAACTTTTGAGTTTATCAAGATTTTTTTCTCTTGGCATTAAGAAAAGCCCACTTAGTTTCTGGGGTGGTGTATTTGAGCTGGCTCAAAACTGATGAAGAATTACTGGGACTGGAGAGATGGCTCTTGCTGCACAAGCATGAGGAGCAGTTGGATCCTAGCACCCACACACAGGTGTGACAGCACACCTGTAACCCCAACACTGAGGAAATACAGACAGAAAGATTGCTGGGGCTTCCTGGCTGCCAGCCTAACCAGGAAGCATGAACTCCAAGTTAATGAGACCCTGCCTCAAAGGAACAGGTGGAAAGGAATAGAGAAGGACACCTGATTCTCTGCTCTGGCCTCCGTGCATGCACATGTGTACATGAACCATGCACACATGCACATATACAAAGATCTTGGGGTCGGAGAGGCTTCTGAGGAAGTAGGTCTGGTATCACAACTGTGCCAGCTTTCTTAGAGGGCCCTAGGCTGTGGACCTTGTAGCCTTCTCTGTCTCTGTAGAACACAGAGCCTTCTCAATCTTACATCACAAACTATGGCTGGGAATGATGGTCCATCCCTGTAAATCCCAGCCCTTGGGAGGCTGAAGCAAGATGGCAACAAGTTTGAAGCCAGCCTGAGTTAAATACTGTCTCAAAAATAAAACAGCCAAGTATGATGGCACCCTTTAAGGTGCAGGCCTTTAATCCCAGCACTCAGGAGGCAGAGGCAGGCAGGTCTCTGTGAGTTCAAGGCCATCATGGTCTGCATGGCATGTTGCAAGCCAACCAGGCTACATAGTGAGACTCTGGCTCAAAAATAATAATAATGGGAGCTGGAGAGATGGCTCAGCAACTAAGAGCACTAGCTCTTGTAGAGGACTCAGGTTCGGTTCCCAGCACCCACATGGTGACTTAATCATCTGTAATTCCAGTTCCAGGGGATCCAATGCCTTCTGTCCTCCATGGGTACTGCACAACATGGGTGCACTTACAAGTATGTAGGTATAACACTCATGCACATAAAATAAAAATATAATAAAAACGAGATATAATACATAATTGTTTTCCTTTTTGGAAGCTCCTTTAAAACACACTTGCTTTTTTGCATAGCTTTGGGCTGCTTTAAAATGATTAACGTGTGTTGGAGAGGAGCAAGGAGCAGGACATAGCTGCAAAGAGGTTGACCGGCAAGTCATACCTGAAGCAGGGCATCAGACACACAAGGGTCACTAGGCCATTCTCCTTATTCATATTCATTCTTATTCGTGTTCAAGACTTTCCTGGTCAGCTTCAGTAACCACAGGTCTCTACTGTGCTCACCCTGTCACCACATAGAAGCTTCTCCTCAGAACCAACATCATAGTCACTAATGGCCTCTATGGTGTACAACACTCAATTCACTGCCATACCACCGATCAGTGTTAGGGACACTGATGTCCAAAGCTAGTGGCCTGTTTGCTGTCTGTCAAGGTTCTGTCTGGTGGTGACTTGTCTCATTCCATTACAGCAGTCCCTCAAAGGAGGTCCTGTTGCCCATTTCACAGATGTGGCACAGACTGGACAATTGCCTTGGCCAGCCAGCAAAGTGGTGGCGTCAGGCGTTGGGTCAGAGAAGACTGCATGGGCAAAAACGAAGCGGAAAGTGTGTAGGTATCTGGGATATCCAGTGTCCTGTGTGGGTCAAGGAAGCACAACTTCACTAAAGAGTAAGGTACCGGCATGGTGGCTCCACTGTGGCTTACCGGTGGCTTACCTTACTATGATGAAGGGCTCCTGATACCTTGACCGGATGGCCATCCAGAGAGAGCAGCACCTCACATCCCCAGTGGCCCACCCTGCCCCAGGTCATACATTGGAGCAACTTCTGCAGGGCTGATTAAAAAAAAAATAAAATTAAGAAAGGAGGGAGGGGCCTAGAGAGATGGCTTGGTAGTTAAGAGCGCTTGCTTACTGCTCTTGCAGAGGACCCAGGTTCAGTTCCCAGTACCCATATGGTGGTTCTAAACTACCTGTAACTCCAGTTCTAGGAGATCTAACACCCTCTTCTGGCCTCCACAGATCCTGGCATATACATAATGCACTTAAAACTCAACCAGGCAGACATAAAAATAATAAATCCTTAAAGAAAGGGAGAGAGTCGGGCATGGTGGCACACGCCTGTAGTCCCAGCACTTGGGAGGCAGAAGCAGGTGGATCTCTGTGAGTTCAAGGCCAGCCTGGTCTACATAGTGAGTTCCAGGACAGCTGGGGCTACAGGGAGACCCTGCTTCAAAAAGACAAAAAAAGAAAGAAAGAAAAGGGAGAGAAATACTTATCATGGCAGCCCCGGAAGGTCCCCAGGCCTGAAAAGGCGAAGCCAGTAAGCACAGCGCAGAGGGTCCTTGGTCAGAGCACAAGGGCCACTGCTGCTGGGAAAGCAGGCCCCTGGCAAAGTATCCCATCGCAGCTCCAATTACTCCACAAGGCAGGTATTCACCATGGCTTTTCTGATAGAGAAACTAAAAATGCAAGCCAAGGGGCTCAAAGCCACACAGCCAGCTAGTGACAGGACTGGATTGTACCTGTGTCAATAGGTTTCCAGGCCTTTCTGGCTTCTCACAGAGCCCACGGTCCTATCATAGGCTCAAGGCCAGGGAATGGGATGGTGGTACCCAGACCAAGATTCCTGCCAGCCTCAGAGGGCTGGAGGCATCAGGGACATATGCTGGCTGGGGGCTCAGAGGAAACAGAAATAACACACTTGACCTGTCACCCTCAGGTTGAATGTCAGTCCCAGGATCTTATGCTGTTGGCTTTGAACACCATTGACTTCCTGGAATCAGAAAATCAATATCCCTACCATCTTCAGGCTAAACTTCAATTGGAAGGAATGAGGTTTGTGGGCTTGATAGTGTCACATCAGCGCTCCCAGTCCATAGACCATCCCTTTACCATATCGTCTTGGGAGAAGACAATACCTGTATAGCAAGCAATAGCTCATGTGGTGCCATGATGTGTTTGTATACCCCCAAAGTTCACGTGTTGGAAACCTAATCCCCAAAATCATATTGATGGATTGATGGTATTTGAGATGGGGGCCTTTGGAAGGTACAATGAGGTCATGAAGTAGGGCCCCCTGGTGGGGAAAAGGTCCTAGCTAACATACTTCTCTATCACCAATGTGGTGTCCTCCACCATGTTAACATACACAAGGGGGTCCTGCCGGAGGCTCTCAGACTTACAGCCAAATCAACCTTTTATTTCTTATAAATTATACTCTTGGATCCATGGTACAGCAGTAAAGAGTGAACTATGACACGGGGTGGCACAGGACATCCACAACCATGTGGGACATCCACAGTCATGAGCAAGCCAGCTGTCTTATGCCATTATCCTCCAACTGTTTCTACAGCATCATGCTGATATTCCCATAAGGCCATGCCTTGGCAGGCCTGGCTAGGAGGGGCTATACCTAGGTGAGGTGAGTAGATGAAGACAGAATGCTGATGCTACTACATGACAAGAGTTCAGCACATGCTTGACCACGAAGGCAGGCAGGCAAGGAATTAGGGTTTAGAAGACCTGGTTCCGACACAGTTTTGCTGCTGACTAGGTGTGCGGCCATGGAAAAGTCACTTAAATCAGCTTTGTACTTTCTACAACAGAGATAATGGTACCCACCCACTTCACATTTATAATATGCAAATGAAAAGATGCACAGTCCAGAGATGTGGCTCAGAGGTGAAGCATCTGCCTGGTATGTGCTACCCATGGAGTCCATTCCCACAACAATAGGAAAATATGGGTACATTAAGCCCATGGCAGCACACAGGCACAGTGGGCACCTGGCAGTCATTTATTGTATTGAAACCACCTTGGTGAGCCAAA